ATGTTAACTTAATTAAATATTGTATGAAATAAATAAAAAACGACACCAAGGAATTTATCCTCACTATATTGTTAAATTGGTCAAATTAAATGTAGGGATATCTAAAATTTTATTCCTACGAGTTTAAGACTTAATGCCTCCATCAGATAGGCTTAATTGCTAACCATCTTCATTTCTGGCCTCCTTTCTATGGAATTTTTTCTAATAGACTCAATTGCTAATTTAGATGAACCCTTCACCTAGCCTCCTCCTCCCACCACCACCCCTAATTAGGGCTGCCTTGGTCCGGTGACCTGAGCCTGAGCTTTCACTGGTCATTTTCATACACAGGTGAGATTAAAGGAGAATTTGGAGTGGGGTTTTGGTTATATAGTTTTGCTGCGTTGTTACAGAGCACACCGACAATGCCTTATCTTTTTGGCAGGTAACCTAGATTTCCTTTATGCTATGGAAATGTGTGGCTAATCACGATAATAAGGAGCCAAAAAGTTCGACATGGCGACCTACCACGTTGAGCTTGGCTGCTGGAGCTTCCCATCGTTCTAATAATGTACCCTACTTGCATTTATTCTTTTCATTTTCCCTTCAATATACGGGTGACGAGGGTGTGGGGCTACTCAATTTCCTCCATTTTACTACTTAATTATACATATACTAAGTATTGATTTTTTCTGATGTTAATTGAGATTAAGAAAAAATTTCAAACGTATTCTTCACATCGGTCTTGTAAACTCAATTTTTTTTTATATAAATTCTTTTAGGTACTAGTTTTAAGATTTGAATTGAAAAATAAAAAAATAAAACATATTTTCTCAACCATGAAACTGGATTTTTAATTTGTTTTAGTTTTATGTTGTGATAAAACCAGAAAAAAAAACAGTGGAATATGAGTTATATCCCTTTCTACCATGCTTCAGTTAAAAAATTAACTATTTATATTTTGGCTAAGAGAATTTGAGAATACAATTAAAATAATAATTTTTTAAAACAAATTGTTTTTTAAAATTAAATTTTTTATATATGTTTTTGGATTATTTTAATATTTTTTTTAAATACTTTTAAAAACAGTACATTTGAATAACATTATGTTTTTTTAATAATCACGATAATAAGGAGCCAAAAAGTTAGACATGGCGACCTACCACGTTGAGCTTGAGCTTGGCTGCTGGAGCTTCCCATCTTTCTAATAATATACCCTACTTGCATTTATTCTTTTCATTTTCCCTTCAATATACGGGTGACGAGGGTGTGGGGCTACTCAATTTCCTCCATTTTACTACTTAATTATACATATACTAAGTATTGATTTTTTCTGATGTTAATTGAGATTAAGAAAAAATTTCAAACGTATTCTTCACATCGGTCTTGTAAACTCAATTTTTTTTTATATAAATTCTTTTAGGTACTAGTTTTAAGATTTGAATTGAAAAATAAAAAAATAAAACATATTTTCTCAACCATGAAACTGGATTTTTAATTTGTTTTAGTTTTATGTTGTGATAAAACCAGAAAAAAAAACAGTGGAATATGAGTTATATCCCTTTCTACCATGCTTCAGTTAAAAAATTAACTATTTATATTTTGGCTAAGAGAATTTGAGAATACAATTAAAATAATAATTTTTTAAAACAAATTGTTTTTTAAAATTAAATTTTTTATATATGTTTTTGGATTATTTTAATATTTTTTTTAAATACTTTTAAAAACAGTACATTTGAATAACATTATGTTTTTTTAAAAAAAAATTATGTAAAACTTAATTAATAGCAACTAGTAAGAAAATGTTGCAGAGATCACTGACAAATGATTTTCCAAATCTGACTTTTGATAAGAAACTTTCCAAGTCAAGAAGTAAGAATTTTCAATGAGAAAATGTGTTTCTTGTACACAAGAGCCTAGCTATTAAAAGGATCCAAAAGGAGAAAAAACAGTAATTTTGATGCCTCTTTATTTATTTTTACATGAGACACGATCTTTTCTTTAAATTAATTATTTGATAGGCAGTTGATAAAAATTTGAGATTAAAATTTTTTTTTATATATAATTTTAAGTTTGAATTTTTAATTATTTATATAATGATCATTAAAAATTTACACAATTATTAACTTTAAAATTTATAAAATTAGTTATAATATGTATAAATTAATTTAAATATCCATATTAATTTAATAAAAAAATCAAATCTTGGCTTTCGAGGTTGATTTTTCAACCCTCGTGTTCCTTTTTTTTCCTGTTATGTGTCTTGGGTTTTTGCTGACAATAAGCAACATATTAAATCTCCATAAAAATATGCAGCTTGGTGCATGGAACAATTAATTAATTCAATTTTATTTTTTATTCAGTGGGAATGTGAAAGGGTGTGGTTCATAGTCAAAGTTAATGGCCCCTTTTTATATCGATTAACACTCCTTTTTTTCTTCTTTTTTTTCTCGTGCATTGATTGTAGAGTGGAAGGTTTTGTGCACAAGAAACGATGTCTTGTGAAGTTGACAAACATTATTAGTATTGATCAAGGCAGTTTCATGCATACGTAATGGATTCAATTTACTTATTTCTTTAGGATAAATCTCTAAATTTTGTCAACAAACATTGAATCTCTATACATACGTCACGTCCGAACCAAATCATGAGATAATTAAGAGGAAAAATAGAAAAGAAATGAGAGGCATCGACGGGCTCGTGAGATTATTTAGTTTTTTTTTCTTCCTTTTATTCAAGTACAATGGAATTGTTGCTTCCATGGCCACGGTCCGATTATGGGTCGGAGCTCGTCGGCCTCACGAATATTTGGTCATAAATTATATATATATATATATAGAAAAATAAAAAGATTAATGGTGGAGAGCAATAGCTTTGAAAATGATGCTTTAAAGCAACAATACAACAAATAAAGAGTTGGGTTTCGTTTTTTTTTTTGAAATATGATTTACCATACCATCCCTAGCTATGAGTCATAGAGGAGGATCTGGTTTCGCAGAGCGGGGAAAAAATTTAAGAACCGCAGCCTGTAGGTCAAGTACAGGGCTATAACCACCAGATCTCGCTAGCATTGTACTTAGGCTATGAACGTCTTTCTCTAAGCCCTTTAATTGTACCTATTAACTTCTCAATCCCATCAAAACTTTGATCATGCTCTGTTCGTTGTATATTAAAATAATAATTTTTATTTTTAAAAAACTATTTTTAATATTAATACAGTGAAATAATATAAAAACATTATAAAAATTAATTGAAAACAAAAAATAAAAAAAATGAGAGTTTTGTTTTTGTTTAGATTCATTTTAGCGCTAGTGAATAGTTTAGGGAATAATGTGAGGTTTGTCAACCATTATTGTTATGTGGTGTTTAGTATTGTTGTGATTATTATTTTTTAAAATGTTTTTTATTTATAAATATATTAAAAAATATTTTTTTTTAAAAATAATATATATATATTATGAAACAATTTTTGGACCGTGTTCCAAACTCTATCATAGGCAGCACAATTATTAACCTAATTAATTAAACGTATAAAATTGCCTTGCCATCGATAAAGGTGCACACAAGTAACCTTCACGGATTTTATAAATTGAAGATCTTACTTTACCATGCTGACCTACGTGATTCTAAGGAAGTGTTAAACACTTGTCTCGCAATGAGAAGTCTTGGAATGTTGTAGAAGCAACCGCCGGTACTTATTCTATAGGTTTATTTTGAAAAAGGAAGAGATAGATAATAAAATAAAAATAATATTCAAACTCATAAAAACGATTATATATATACATATATATATATAATTTTCTCTCTTTTTATATATATATATATATATAATTTTCTCTCTTGTTTTTTATAATTTTATTATGTCTATCTTTTTTTGCTGAGTGAGTAGAGGAGTGATTACTCTAAAATTTATTATCTCATAACTGTTTTAAATTTAGCATTTGGGTGCTGTGATAAATAAAAGCAGAATCTTATGAGCTATAGAAGAGATGTTATGGACTTGGAGATTGAAGGTTAAAATTACCCTGCGTTTTTATCTAGACTTGAATATCAAGAGAGGTATAAAAAAATAATATTAAAATTAAATTTATTCTTGAGCTGTTCAGGATCCCAAATTCGACCCAACATTAATATTTTTTGATTTACTGAGATTCGAAGGCCCAATTTCTAGCTTCAAAAGAGAAAAGAATCGTTAGGTAGGCTATGAAGTATGACACGACTCTGAAAAGAAAAGGACCTGATGAAATTCAGCTTAGCAGACTTTGTTCGTCCGCGAGATTGCGGCGAAGATTACTTTACAAATAGTTTTCTAAGTTTTTTTTTAATATATTAAAATAATATTTATTTATTTATTTTTAATTTAGCATATTAAAATATTAAAAAATATTAATCTGAAATTCTTTTCAAAGAAAATACAGTCCAATCACGTTCCCCAAAAAAATTAATTAAACATCATTTATTATAGTTTGATAAAGATCAACATCAAATCAAGTCTATTAATGCATCATAAATCATTCACCGGCTACCTCTATTTGAACATGTTTAAAGAGAGTCTTATAATTGCTAATGCTTGAACTTGATTCATGGGAGTGTGTACCAAAAGGGAAAACGGCAGCACAACATTCTACTACGGCATGGATTTGTTTTTGGAGGATGAAGGAGGCTATTTTGCTGAAAACCCTTCAATTTCCTAGTTTTCTATGGAAATAGATGTTTCCTTTTCTTCTTCAACTTTCTGGTCCATTTCCTCCCATGTCGTATACTTTATTGATAATGCTCTCGCTTTACTTGCTTGGAGGTAGTGCAAGGTTAGGTTTTGATACACACTGCTGTGTACACTCCTTAATAAAATCCCCATATCTCATGCTTCTCTTGTTTCTTAGCGAGCCCACTTTTTCAAAAATCTCCTTCGATTTTTCTTCATGGAAATTGACGATCTGCCGCTGATATTGCTCTAAAGTTTTCGTCATTTCCAAGTAAACTGATATCCTTTCTCTAAACTGCAATGATATTAATATTAATAATAATCTAATATTGACCCCTCTCCTCCACTCATAAAACAACAAAATTTATACACGTTTTAGGTACCGTGATTTATGCCACATGTGGATTAGGGTCAAGAGTCAAACATGTTTTAATGTTGTCGTGGCCAGCAAATACGAAGTAGACTGACCCTTTCTTGCTGCTCCATTCCTGTTTCTTCTTTTGTACATCAAAGGGGGAGGTATGGATGGTCACTGAGATTCAACTTGGAGTATATAGGTTAGAGATTGTGCTTCTTTTATGCTCTTAGATTTAAAGGCATTTTCTTTTCCCTTTCTGATGATTCAACTGCCCTGAACTCAAGTTCATATCATGGCCTGTAACTTAGAACCTGTTTGACATAATTTCGGCATAATTCAAAAAAAAAAAGATCATAAACATGCTTAGTTAAATCAAGTTTTGGCTTTAAAAATATCTTAAACGAAGTGAATTCTACATAAACGATACGCATTCAGGCAACAGTTGACAAAGTATGGAGTCGCTGGCTTCTGAAAGCAGACAACATTAACCACCAACGACTATCGAGGAACATTTCATGCCTACACAATTTCATTACTGTTCATTTTTCTACGACAATACATCACCCATGGGCTCCCATATCTCATTAAAGAGATAGATTAACAGCTACTTGATTAGTTTTGAGAGATGAGTTAGAAGAATATTAAAAAGGGGATAATCAAATCAGCAATGGAATGCCCTACGTTGATATTTTGAGCATGATAGTGGACCTCTATTATGAAGACTTTGGACCAACGAAGTACTGATTGCTGGTTGCTGAAGTAGAATTACTTCATTGTCTGCCAAAATATATGCATATGCTGTCATGATGTGGCCAAGTATGCTGGTGCTAATTAACTCAAGACAGCATCCTTAATCTTGCTCCCTCAGGCAAGTAATCATAAAGTCACTGCTGTTAATTATTGCTAACCCACTCCATCTAATGCTTCAAATGTTCTTAGGTATTACCACAACTATAATTCTTTAATGAACAACTTTTCATCTTGAGGCCAGCAACGGTGACAACAATGAACAAGTATCGTTCGAAGTGGATATACAGCATTGTTTTTTCTAATGGTACATGGTACATTATACAAAAGAGATGTTACTAACCTAAAAGATCGTCCTGATTAATGCACAGCAAAGTCCAGTGAATGCAGGCAGCTAACAAGCAACCTGCTGATTATTGGATGCACGACTTTGGTCGGTGTCCAGAGCCCATTTAGAAGCGGAGCAAGCTATTTCATAATTTGTCATGGACATCTACCGTTGTATTAGATTGATCAAGATGCAGACCATCCCATGTCTTAACTCCAGAAAAGGAGCTTGAAAAGGCATTTCTTTGGCCAGATGAGAAGCACAGATTCCCATTTCTTTGACCATGAAGCCTGAGATTGTTTCGAACAAAAAAAAGATCTTCCATTCTCTGCTCTCCCAACCTGTTTGCTGATTCTCGACATGAGAAGTCACTAGCTTGCCAAATCTCTTCGCACAATGCAACACTTGAAACCTGGCTCAGAACTTTTATGGCTAGTGTTTGTAAGTTGGGTGTTTCAAAACCGAAGTTTTCCCACCAAGCCACTGGATCCATTTTATCCCTACAATCCACGGCATCTTCCTCTCCCATGGATCCTTCCAGACGCCAGTATGAGCTGAACTGCTCTCTGAGAACACGTCTGGCTGTGCTTTCACTCTCATATCTTTCTAGCGTAGCTTTCCAGCCCCGCATTACAGATTTATCCTTTGTTTGACCTTTTCCAATATATCTAGGATTCAGTAAATAACCTGCAGCATGAAGAGGGGAAAATAGAACATCCCACCTGTTCTCAATCAGTCCTTCTAACTGATTCAATATGCCATCATCAATTGCCTGACTCCTCAAGGCTTCAAGTGCCTGAACCCTCCAGTCATAAACAGCACCAAGAACAGATTTGTCGATATCAATTGTAGCAAGCAAACTTACAAAAGGCTCATATAACTGCAACAATAAATCAGCCTTGCTCCAGAACCCATCATCTAAAATGGCAGATTCAACATTTACAACATCCTCTGCCATATTATTCTTCCATTGCTTCCAGTCTTCACTAACAACCACAACCTGGAGTGATTGCCTTAGCTCAAATACCCTCCGGAGAAAGCAATACGAAGGTGCAAGCTTGGCAGAGATTGGATCGGAAAACTCTTTCCAATCTTGACCAAAAGTGCACGAAGAAGTATGTTGATATGTGATCATGCATTGCTCAATTGCCTTGGCACACAAGACAACAGGTTTTATCCATTCCAGTTCGGCCATTTCTTCCATCAACATGAGGACAGAGTGTGAAGTGCAAGGAGACCAGAAGATATTAGGGAACTTTGACGATAAATAGGACTCGGATGATTTGCATGCATTGCCTAGATGTGAAACTATCTGAAGAACATTTGTGGGGCCAACTTCCATAATAGTATCAGCGAGAGCACCAGTAAACACGTGCTCTCCCTCGTCAGTATCATTGACATCAACTGCCTTTAAAAATACAAGTCCCCTTGGGCTGGAGATAAATATATTGACATGTACGCTGCCTGATGCACCATCTAAGCGACTGGCACACAGTATTGTGCATCCTGTATGTGGCCATGACTCCCTAACTAGAGCTACTGATTTTTCAATCCTCGCTTTCTCTTTGCTTAAAAAAGAATCAGACAGCTTATCTATTGATGGGGGTTCATACCCAGACCCAAAAGCACCAATTGCTTTCACCATTTCACGAAAGTAAGGAGAGTTGACGATATCAATATTTAATCCATCAGCATAAAAAAATCTAGCTACTATGTCATCTATATCTTCTTTTGTGATGGTTTTCCAGGCAAGAGCTGGCTGAGAAGTCCGAGTGCGTTTACAAGGCTTCCCAGTGACAGAATTCTTTTTCTTCTTCTGTGAAACACGCTCCTCTTCTAGGACCTGAAATGCTTCTCGTAAAGACCTGTCTATTGCAGGGCAGCTTTTGACCCCAACACCTGAGAACCCTAGTAGGTGGGCCCTGACACGTGAATAAGACCCATTATATCGTAGATTACAGTGGTTACATTTCCACCTTTTTGTACCACTTCCCCTGTCAAATCCACCAAACACGCTAACATGTTCCCATCCCCACTTATCAGATTCTGATGGCATACTTCCGAGCCTTTTCTGAATACCAAAGAAATGGAACACTGATCTGTTAAAATAAAACATAAGAGAACACCACTGAGAAAAGCATTGCCTGCAGGACATCTACAAGTACCATCAAAGTCCCAATTCCATGCCGCTAAATACGTCTAAATAGAATTTATTTTTCCTTTGAAGCAGCAAGTATAAGAACGTAGAAAGCAAACAAAAATCTCCAAAAATGAGAAGGACAGCTATCTGGCATTTTACTTCGATTGCTTGGAAACTTACAAATCTAGTGGCATTTTTGTGTTCCCATATACTGACCTGTGAAGATGCTCAATCATGGACTTTCAGAGAGCTTGGTCGAGTTCGACCACCTCCTATTCATTTTGTATGAAATTCGGGTGGAATCTTTCTTATTTCACTGCTTTCCAAAACTTCTCTTATTTATAGCACATTTCATTCAAAGGATTTTTTTAAGTGTTTGACACAATAGACTAACCGCTCGCAAATCAGAAAAAGCAATGGTTGACAAAATTGTCTTTCCGATCAAACCAGAAAAGATTCAGATACGTGTATAAGAGAAGGAAGCAAATACCATGGAGAACAACGCAAGTTGAATATCTTTGACAGCTCAAGTATTTATGTAAATCTATAAGCTGCTAATGTCCTGGCATATAAAAACTAGCTCTCTAGAATAGCAAAAATTCCAACTGGGCTACAGGAAGCTGAATCGGTGAATGTTATGGCATAATGAAACATAACTAATACCATGATTAAACAGAGCTATAGGCAACAAAATTGGAGAAATTATGTCATTTTTTATATCACGGAACCAGGAAACATAACTATGCTTCAACAGATTATCACACTAAGTGAATTGAACTTCCTAAAAAGTAGCATGCCAGGCAAGGCATTCATGCAATGTATCTGCAAAAATGGTACCGATGCTTTGCACCATTGTCAATGGCAATACAAAGAACTTCTTTTAAAAAAGAGATTTTTCAATGTAAAGAAGAACTAGCAACTTCTACTAGCTCGTGCTTGGACTTTTAAGTCTGACACTAGTCCGTTCCCTTTCTGCTTCGATTTGTTAACTATAATAGTCTGGGCTTTTCTCCAGTCAGTAATAACCTCTTAGTTGGTACAAACCATCATCTCTTTCCCTATACTAAAATGAACGCATCTCTTTCTTAGTCGAGATTAGTGAGCTTTCATTTGTCAGCAGAGGAACCGCGCACCTGTTGGTACCTGAGGAAAGTACTAGCTTAAGCGACAACTAGCCTTTTTATTTCAACAGTAAACTTCTCTACTCGCTCCTGTTAGGGGACCCTCTTATACTGTAGCTCTGCTCATTCCGGGGATGAAATGGCTAGACTACCAATGCTTTACACCGTTGTCAATGACAACATAAAAGAGATTTTTCAATCTAAAGAAGAAACTTCCTAGCACACAATCTCTTCATGCTACAGCTAAACTGATTGTGATGCAGAGGCATCCAAACTAAGTTCCCTGCCTGGCACTCATCATAAAACAGAATTCAGCAAGATTCTGACTCTAACCCAGGGCTTGGTGCATTTTATACAGGCTAAGTCGTGCATTTTCGACTTCAACTTCCCAGGGGTGCCACCGTCTAGTCTGATAACAAACGTAGAACAAGTTATTGATGTCCAAAGTTTAAACTATCATTCCTTATCCAAACAAATTTGCCAAAGCACACTGATCAAAGGTGCCAGCTTGCGTTCTGTCTACAAGTTAACCTTGGTTCTTGATCAAAGATTGGAACTTAACCAATCTTTTCAGGTGATTCTAATTTCTAACTTGAAAAAGATCGCAACTTTACCACTCAACTTCATCTACATTTAACTCTGATTTTGAAAGCTACAAAAACCCAACAAAATTCCAAGCTCTAAAATCATTTAAATTGTCACTAATCTTTAATCAACCCCCCCCCCCCGCCGC